GGCTTCCCCACGGCCAGCGTGTAGCTGCGCTTGCCGGCCCGGGCCAGCAGCTCCCGGAGGTGCTGCAGCACGCTCAGGTAGCCCGCCACGCCGAGGGTGCCCACCAGGATGCCCACCACGCTGGCATCCCGGGCACGCTCCACCAGGTACAGCCGCCGCATCAGGGCCCGGTTGACGTTGAGGGTCTCGCGGCGGCCGCAGCCGGTGCTGGGGTTGAAGGAGCTGAAAGGACAGCGGTTCCAGGTCAGCATGAAGCTGGTGAGGGCAAGGCCCTCAGCTCCCACGTAGAACATGGCATAGTCCTGAAGCCCTCCTGCTGCTTCCACCAGGAACTGGCGACCAAACTTCCGTTCCTCACCAGGAACTGCGGGGCCAGGAGGGTCTCCCCACACCAGCCTGGAGAAGATGACATTGGGGTATTCGGGGCGCAATTGCTGCTCCAGCTCACCTGAAGAAAGAGAGGAGTGAGAACAAAGCTTGGCCATAGTCCTGACGTGGAGAAGGTGCAGCAGATCAGGGGAGAACACAGAAATCAAACCTGCCAGTGTCTGGGGAATGAATGCCTGCTTGGTCTGACCCTGGCAGCCCTGCAGAGCTCAGAGCAGCACCAGAGCCCCCCTCCCTGCCCCGGAGCACTCACCCATCGCATGGGCGTACACCACATCGCTGAGCACCACCACACGGCTCTGCTGCTCGGGGTAGAGCTCCCGGAACGCCTCTGCGCAGCGCCGCACGTCCAGCGGCTGCTGCCCAAAGATGTGCAGCACCGGGAGCTTCCTGCAGGGGCTGAGGCAGGCCGGGCCGTAGTGCAGCACTGCCTCGGCACCCACGTGCTCGGCAGCCACTTCATCCACGCAGCAGCTGCGAGGAGAACAACGCGGTGTCACACAGGCTCTGCAGCGCGGAGCCCTCTCCCCTCCCTGACACCGCCCCGTCCCTGCCCGCGAGGGAAGCCCGGGAGCCCCACACGGACCTGCCGTACGTGGTGTCTCCCAGCACGAACATCTCGGCCCCAGTGGCTGCCTCCAGCCCACCTGCCACCTGCACCGCGTCTGCCAGGAGCTCGTCAGGGAACTGCAGGGCAACCTGGCGGAAAAAGGAGAGAGGCAGACGGGAGTGAGGCACTGGGGAGGGTGAGGTGAAGGGACAGAATGGATAGAGTGGATAGAGTAGACCCTCGGCAAGTTTGCTGATATGAAATTTGCTGATATGAAACTGGGGGGAGTGGCTGATACACCTGAAGGCTGTGCCATGCAGCAGGACCTTGATGGGCTGGAGAATTAAGCAAAGAGAAACCTAATGCGGGTCAACAAGGGCCCTTACAGCCAGGACAGCCAATGGGATCCTGGAGTGCACTGGCAAGAGTGTGGCCAGCAGGTTCAGAGTGATGATTCTGCCCTCCTACTTGGCCCTGGTGAGGCATGTCAGGAGTATGGTCTCCAGTTCTGGGCTCCTCAGGGTAAGAAAGACAAGGAGCTGCTGGAGAAGGTCCAGCAGAGGCCACATGGGGGTCTGGAGCCTCTCTCTTGTGAGGAGAGACTGTGGGAGCTGGGCCTGTTTAGTCTGGTCAAGAGAAGACTGAGAGGAGATCTGTTGTGGTTTAGGGATGTAACTCTCCAGTTCAGTGCTCCCAGAGCCTCTCCAAACCACGCTGCCACTCCCTTGCTCCCCCCTCTCCTTCCTCCTGCAGCGGGATGGAGCAGAGAATTGGAAGCACGAAGCGTAAAGATCTCAGGCCAAGATCAGAGCAGTTTACTGGAAACAGCACATTAAATAAGAAAACCAATGGTAACAGCAGCACTATCAATAACAATGTACAAGAGACAGATGATTCACACACAAGTGTTCGATGCAGGGCTCTGACTATACCTGACCATGCCACACTCTGGGACCCGGGAAGGACCCCTTCCCTGTCCCCAGAAAGTGATGGGAAGTGGGACAGAGTAACCTCTGGGTCGTGGCCATGTCCCCTCCTGGCTACTGCAGAAATTAACCCTGTCCTGCCTGGAACGAGGACAAGATCTCGTTAATAATATAAATATTTCAAAGGTGGGTGCCAAGAGGACAATGCCAGATTGTTTTCAGTGGAGCCCAGCAACAGAACAGAGGAAGGAGCAATGGCCATAAACCAAGGCAAAAGAAATTTCACGTTAACACGGGAACGAGTTCTTTACACTGTGGGTGGTAGAGCACTGGAACAGCTGCCCAGGGAAGCCGTGGGGCCTCCATCACTGCCGACATTGCAAACGCATCTGGGCGCGTTTCTGCACAACCTGCTCTGGTGCCCCTGCCTTGGCAAGGGGGTGGGACAGGATAATCTTCAGATCAGCCTTCCAGCGCTAACAATCCTGTGAGGCAGCGGGAGAGGGGGCGGCCGCAGCCCCCCGCCGGCTCCACCCTGGGTCCCACTCACCTTGCGGAACCCGCCATCCCGTACGAAAGCGGCGGCCCGGCCCATCTCGTAGTAGCCGTCGAGGTCGCTCCGCGGTGCCGCGGCCACGACCGTGCACAGCTCCCGCCTCAACGCGGCCTCCCCATCGCTGCTGAAGGCCGCGGCCATGGTGACACGCGGGACCCGCTTCCGGGCTGCGGCGCGGCGTTGGCCAATGGAAGCTCGGCTCTGCATTCCCCGCCCCCATAAGCCCCGCCCACAAAGGGGTGGAGATGTAACGGCAGCCAATGGAAATACGCGCTGATCGCGATGCATTATGGTGTGTGTAGTTTCCCCGCCACTGTCAAACCAAGCAGCCAATAAGCGGGCGCGGTGGCAGCGGTGGCGTTCCGGTACTTCCGTGCGGGAGCTGCAGTTCCGGTCAGGTGCCGCGCGGGGGTCAGGTGACCCGGCCCGATCCGCTCCCGCCGCGCCGCCCGGTGCCGCTGCCGCCGCCGCCATGACGGGGCTCGTCCTGCTCTACTCGGGGCTCGGCCTCGCCTTCTGGACCACGCTGCTCGGCGTCGGTCAGCGCCGGGGCGGGGAGAAGGGGGGTCCGGGGGCTGCGCTGCGGGGCTGAGCCGGGGGGCGGCAGGGGGTTCCGGGCCCGAGGGGCGGCTGCGGCTCCTGCCCGTGCTGCGGAGGGCGAGAGGGTTGCTTTGGTGTGCGAAAGGCAGCCGGGCGGTGAGGGGTGCAGCGTTGTCGGGCCCCGGTTGCCGCGGCGCTCCCTGGGGCTGGCCCGTGCTCTCCGGCAGGGCCGGGGGTGCTGCTGGGGGCTCCCCTGCCTGGGCAGCGCCCTCGGGCCTGCAGCTGCTGCCCCGGGGCCCCGGCGGTGCCGGGTCACCCCCAGCGGGCCTGCGGCCGTTCTCTCGGAGTCCCAGCGGTGCCGGGTCACCCCCAGTCGCTGAAGGATGGGCAGCTCTGAGCCCGTCTGGCTTGAGCAGTTGATTTGCTTCTCTGTGTGTGCGAGAGCAGAAGGGTGCCGGTGCCGGTCAGGGGGTTCGGTAGATCGGGGCAGGTGAAGGCAGGAGGAGCCCGGTGCTTCAGACTCTGCTGGTTGATGTCTCTCGGGTGGAGAGATCGCCTTGCTCTGCCAGGCTGTGGCAGCATGAGAGAACATGCAGTTTGGATGGTGGTGGAGCTGCTTCGTGGCAGCCCATGCAGTGCTGCTGAGGGTGTTGGGCTTTTGGAGGATGGATTTAATGCCCTAGGGCCAGCAGATGGATTTTGTGCTGGGGCTGCTGGTTATTTTCTCTTAGCACAGAATGAAGTGACCACAAACCAGGCAGAGGCTGGGGAAACCTTGGCCATTGCTTCAGTGTTGGGGTGAGGGGAGAGAATGAGTCAGGAGTGAGGGGTGTCTCACTCCCTCGTGTTTCCAGGGCCTGGTGAATCCACTGTGGGCCCAGGGCTGCCTCCCTGGGCTCTCTGAATCATGTAGCTCACAGCAGTGCACATTCACGTTGTGGATGTGAGACTGTTGGAAAATCTTGCTGAGCTGAGCCCAGTTAGTCTGAACTTCCCCTGCCCTGTTGCAGTCCCTTTTTGAGAAAGACCACGAGCAGGAAGTGGTCTTGCTCCATGCAGTGTTGCAGCAGTGTCTCTTTGTGTTTTCTATCTTTGTCCTAGGCCCTGATTTGATCCTTCAGTCCTGCTGCCCTGTCTTCTGTCCTTCTGGTTTCAGGGCTGCAAGTCAGGGCTCACAGGAGAGTGTCCTTTACCCTGTTTCTTTTGCATATGAATCTAAGGTTACACCTGCCCTGAGGACCTGCCCTGAGCTGGTTGTAGCTCTCTTTTACCACTTCTGGGGAGCGGAGGCAGCTGAGGCTGGCTGGGTTCAGTTCCTGTTCTGACATCCAAGCAGCAAAGCCAAAACACAAAACACCAGTAACAGACTGGCTGGACCCAGCACTAGAGGACATCCTTGATAGTTGTCAGACATGCAGGCTGGGCTGTGGCTTTCCTCTGTATTCCCTGGCTGTGCTGGCACCATTCTTCTTTCTTGTGTGTCTCTATAGAGGAGGGGGCACCCCAAATCTGTGGCACAAAGAGTGATCAGCATTACCACCTCCCATTATGGGGCCTGACAGTGCTTGTGTGCTCTCCTGAGGGTGCAGTGTGGGGTGCTGAGACCTGGGCTGCTCATGGAGGGGTGAGCACACAAGAATAATGGGGACATCCCTGCTGCCAGGGATCTGCAGTGCTGAGCCCTTCCAGTGGCATGAGCTGTCCTGCTGTGCTCAGGGAAGGGCATGGTCCTGCCCCTGTATTTCTGCTGGGCTGATTGTCATCACCCCCTACTTCCAGGCTGCTGCTCTGGGGTGGAAGGGAGCAGTGGGATATGGGCAGTGACCTCTCTGCTGCATTGGAGCGTTCCACAGTTCTCCCATTTCCTCTTTTCCCAACCGTTCACAGGATCAGTGTCACACAGACAGGGACTGGTTACAGTCAGATATGGCAGAGCTGTGCCTTCCCCCTGTGCCTGGCATGGAGCACACAGTGCCACGATGCCTGTGCTTATCTGTTCCTTAGGGCTGGTCACCCTCCCTTTTCCAGCAAAGAGCAAGTGTCTCTCCTGGTCTGCAGCCACGTTTCCTATGCAGGAGCTCAGAGTTAGGCAGGGTTTTGGTGCAGCACCTCTGCATGTGCAGGGATGTGACTTGGCTGTAGTTCCTGGTGGGAGATGAGCACAGCAGGGCAAGCCCTCCTTGGAAAGGAAAGGCTTTTCTGAGTTTCTCAGGACAGTGCTTTGGTGTCTCCCACCTGTGTTGGAGTATGAATTTATCTGGAAATTACCCTGGGGGAAATGCTGAGAAGAAAAGTCCTGTCTTGAACCCACAGCCTTGGAAAGGGGGTGTTGGAGGGAAGCTGGAGCTTCTCGTGTTGGAGGGCTCCTGGAAAGCAACACAAACACTGATGGGATGGTGATGTAGCAGCATGTGATGGTCAGTCAGGGCACAGCCTGGCTCCTCTTGTCCCTTCTGTGGCAGGGAAGAGCTCACAGCTGGTCCCTGTGGCTCTCCAGCAGGGCTGAGCCATTGGAGAGCCACAGGCTGAAGATTGTCCTTGAGACCCTGTAGCTCAGCATGGTCTGTGGGTGCTCAGCACGGCCAGGGAATGGAAAACGGGTGTGACAACAACCATGATCATCTTCTGGGCAAGACTGGGATGGGGTCTGACAGTACCTCAGGCCCAGGCTGTCTGTCCTGTGCTGATGTGGAAGCGTTGCCATCACGGGGGTAGGATTTGGAGGGCACACCCTGGCCCACAGCTCTGCATGCTTGAGCCAGTATTCCCAGTACCCCTCCTTCGTGCTGTGCTGTGCTCCTGGGCCTTTGCCTCGGGGCTGTGCAGGTGGGGGAGGAACCAGCAGTGCTGGGTCCAGCTGCTGCCTCCTTGGAGGTTTCCATCTTGTTCTTGCTTTCCAGGGATCTGCTACACAATATTTGACCTGGGCTTCCGCTTCGATGTGGCTTGGTGAGTTCCCTGTAAGCTCGGGCACCCTCAGGGCTGTGTGAGAGGCTGGCAGTGCTGGCAGGGCCTCCAGGAGCAGCACTTGCTTTTGGGTGATGGGCAGTGGTCACTGCGTGGCAGGAGAGCCCGAGCTGCAGTGAGCAGGAACTCTGCTCCCCGGGAGGTGGGATGGATGCAGCCCCTGTGCTCCTGTGGCTGGCTCTCTACAAGGTCCTGGTGCAGCTATTGCTGCTCTGCCCTCCATGTCTCCAAGCCCAGGCTTCTGCTTCACAGTGAGGGCTTGGGAGGAAGCTCTTGATCCATGCAGGTGAGGGTCCTGTGTTTCTGGCTGGCAGTTCTCATGTCCTGCTGTCTGGCTGCCCAGCCCATCTTGGGCTTCATGATTTGGTGGAGGGGTACCTGGTTTGGGATAGGCTGTGTGGTGTGACTGTGGGGGCTCAGCCTGTGTGCTAACTCAGGACATTTCTTCCTCTCCAGGTTTCTGACAGAGACCTCACCCTACATGTGGTCCAACCTGGGCATTGGCTTGGCCATCTCCCTGTCTGTGGTGGGAGCTGCCTGGTGAGTGGGACTGGCTCTTGAGCACTCTCCTGCTGTCCCACCTTGGCAGCTGTGTATGCACTGCAGTTTTCCCACAGCAGAGCAGGGTAGAGCAGTGTGTACATGTAGGACTGTGGGTCACCACACCACTGGGGCTGAATTGCTGGACTGCTGGGGGGTCTGGGTGGACCAGCCCATGGGCAGCAGTGGCAGTGGAAAGACAGGGAAGTTTCTGGAAGCTGTACCCTGAGCCTGGGCTGTCCATGGTGGCTCTTGTGCCCCAGCAGTTCTGCTGGTGTAGCTGGTGCAGGCTGTGGCCACCCATGCCCTGGGAATGGTATGAGTGCTCAGTGCCCCCAGCTGCATGCCTGATTCTTTGCTCAGCTGAAAGATCCTGGCTTCTGTATAGAATTCTGTGAGTGCCAGATCTTCTACCAACCACCCTTGTCTGCTACAGGGGGATTTACATCACAGGCTCCAGCATCATTGGCGGTGGAGTCAAAGCCCCACGGATCAAAACAAAGAATCTGGTGAGGTAAGCACCCACACACCTGGGGTTAGTTCTTGTGCTGCACCTGAGTGGGGCAGGTCACAACCCAGTGAAGAGGCTTCTGTCTGCTCTCTAGCTGGGTGCTGCTGGCAGGCTGCTCCTTGCTGAGCTGCTGATGCTGTTTGCTTTCAAAACAAAGAGCCCTAAAGGAGCCAGAGTGCTGCTTTGAAGGGTCACTGTGTGATGTCACACTGTGAATGAGCCCAGTGTGTTCAAAACAAACACCCTGAGATCACACATCCTGCCCAGGCAAGGGTTCTTGCACAACCCTTCCACAAGGAGCAGAAACGGGCTGGTGAAGGGCAAGGCTTCCCAGGCGTGCTTCCAACAGGATCCTTGCAGCTTACTCAGGTGCCCCAGCAGAACCAGCATCCAGCCTTTGTGTTTGGCAGCTCCCCCTAGTTTGAAAGTTAAGCAGTGGGTAGCTTCCCATATGGCTCTGGAGGGGTCTGGCTGGCTGGGCATGAACTGGCAGGGGCTCCTTGGGGTGGGGTCTTTCCCCCAGGACACTGGTGAGACTGACTGAAGTGCTGTGCTCAGGCTTTGCCTTTCTCCCACAGCATCATTTTCTGTGAGGCCGTGGCCATCTACGGGATCATCATGGCAATAGTCATCAGTAACATGGCTGAGGTATGGGAGCACCCGAGGTCATGGGCCAGTATGGTGAGGGGTGGCCCTGTGGGCACTGGGAACACTGTTGTGCCTTTGGGAGCCCCTGGACTGGTGGTCTGTGTAGGGAATCCTTGCCTGTGATAGAGAGGGTTGGGAGACCACACACAAGGCTGATTCCATGAAGCCATGACGTTGAATCAGGGACTGGCTCTGGCCAAAATGAGGCTTATTAGGGACAGGTACCTCTTCCAGAGACCACAGCCTTGTCACTAACTCAGGTCCTGTGCTTTCTCTCAGCCTTTCAATGGAGTCACCCCAGAAGAGATTGGAGCCAGGAACTACCACGCAGGTAAGGACTTCTGGGTCCCTGGTGCTGTCACTGTGAGCACTGCCACACCCTGACCCCACCTCTGACCCACCCATGGTCGGCTGCTGGTGTCTGAAGGACATGTGACTCTTCTGCCAAAAGGCAGCTTTGTTCTTACCTTCTAGCACCTCCTGTGCCCAGCAGGCTGTGCTGTGCAGCAGCAGCACTGTTCCTTCCCTGGGTGGAGCAGTGGCCTGGCACTGTGGGACCTGAGGCACGCCTTGGAGCAATCCTGCTCCCCAAACAGGGCGCTGCTGGGGCTTGGCAGCTCCTGGTATTCTGTCACCTTGAGACAGAGCTTCTGCAGCATGTCCTGGGTGCAGGTGGCAGGGGTTACATCCTGTTCTTGCAGCATTCCTCTCTCACAGGTTTCTCCATGTTTGGAGCTGGTCTGACCGTGGGTTTATGCAATCTCTTCTGTGGGGTCTGCGTGGGCATCGTGGGCAGCGGGGCTGCCCTGGCTGATGCCCAGAATGCCAGCCTCTTCGTCAAGATCCTGATCGTGGAAATCTTTGGCAGTGCCATAGGGCTGTTTGGAGTCATTGTTGCTATCCTGCAGGTACCTGCTTCCTGAGGCCACCAGGCCTGAGTGAGCACAAGGTGCTGTCACCCTGTATGCTTTCCAGTCCCAGGGAGACGCACCTGGGTTTCAGCACAATCGTCTGCATTGGGATGGGGAGGCTGCTTACAAGGCTTGGGGTGGCACAGCTCTTCCCAGAGCTTACTGTGCCTATTTGTAACATTGGGAACCCTTCTGATGGCCCTTCTGTCACCGAGAGTGTCACCTTGCATACACCTTGTGTGGCACTCATGTCTTACCAGTGGGACTGATAAACTGTCAGCAGCTTCTGGATGGTCCTGGGGTGCTTGGGTGGGACTGGGGTGCTGAGCTGGGGTTTGTGGGCCACAGCCTAACCTCTCTTCTTTCTTTCCAGACATCTAAAGTAAAAATGGGCTGAGCCCTGTTGCACTCAGCCTGTTCCAGCACACCCCAGGAGGTTCTGTACATACTTATTTAATGTTTCTATACTCGGTTGGGGTGGGAGATGCTGGCACCGGCAGCAGGAGCCTGACCGCCTAGAGCCCCGTCCTGCAGATCAGTCGGCCCCGTGGAAGAAACAAATTTCTCTGTGTGAATTCTGCCCCCAGCAGCCTGGCCCAGCTCGTGGGGCCCTGCTGCTGCCCGTCCCCGGTGTGTAGAATTGACCATCAGTGCAATCCTGTGTCAGTGAAATAAATATGGTTCTTGTCCAGCTCTTTCTCTTCGCTGTGCATGCTGGGGAGGTTTGCTGAGAGAAGTGCTGGTTTGGGCTCCCCCAGAGATTCCTCTCTGTGCCTCTGGCAAAATCCCTGTCCTGTTCCAGGAGCCTGGTGCTGTCCTGCCTGTGTGGTGTTAATTCTGTTGCTTTCTCAGGCTGCAGGAGCCACCCTCTTTGGGCTGTGGGAACGCAGAGCTGTGCCTTGCTGCCTGGAGCAGCTACAAGGCTGTTGGAACAGGCAGCAGGCAGCTCTGAATTGCCTCTGCCGGGCTCCTAGCAGCCCAATGTGAGTCCAACACAAGCTGCTTTGTGCCTTTCAGCTCTCATCCAGGTAGTTTAGTCTAGGAGAGTGTACACAGTGTCCATAGCCCCATTGTGTAGCTGGAGAGCACCAGAAGAACAAAGTGAAACTTCTGCCCCTTCAAAGGACATCCTCCAGCCAGGAGCTCCCTGGTGGGACTGGGCTGCATGCTGGGGCACTCCAGTCTGCAGTGCCCCTCTGTCCAGGTAGAGGTCCCAGGGGTGGGGACACTTTGTGCTGGCTCTGTTCCCTGTCCCTAGCTGTGCTGAATAGTGTGGGGAAGCTGGCTGTAGACAGCTGGACCTGCAGCTCATCTGCTGCTTAGGGGAAGGGAAGAACAAGGTCCTTCTGCATGTGCTCTGCTGAGAGCCTGGAGGCTGCTGCATCTGCTGTATCCAGCACAAGGCCCTCATACTGTTCTTCTACCAGTATAGCTTCATAGAGAAAGCACTGATCTTCCAGTGCTGTGTCAGAGCAGATGCACTCTTGGAGCTGTCCTCTCTTCCTGTGTGGATGCCACAGGCTGGGGCAGCAGTGGGACTGCTGGAGCCTGCTGATTCTTGCCCTTGAACTAGGGCAGCTGCCTCTGCATGGCCCCTCTGAGATCTGCTGCTCTCCTGCCTCTGTTCCAGACTGTCCTATGAGTTTTGGGGCTGCAGTGAATTTCAGCCCTGGTTGCATGACAGTTGTGGGAGGAAAACCAAGCCACTGCCTCTGCTACCTGTGCTGGATGTCCCCTGGGGCTGGGGGCTCTCACAGGAGCAATGTGACACCTGTGTAGTGGCAGAACACAAACTGGGCCCTGCCTGGTTTGAAGAAAGAGTGTCAGGTGTGGGCAGACTTTTGCCTGTTCTGTGTGGGCGCTGCAGAGCCATTTCATCAGATCCACACCAAGCTCAGGAAGATGTCTGGAGCTGGAGGGGCTGTGCTGTGCTGGAGTTAGAGAAGTTGCTGTGTGGGTTAATCATCTTCCTGGTTAGCAGCTGTCTTGAAAGACTCACCCACTTGTTTTTCAAGGATGGGCCTTGCCCTGCCCTGCCCGGATAGAAATGCATCTGCTATCAGAAATGTGCCTCTGTGAGGTGCTTTTCCACTCTCCCAATCCTGCCTGTGTATATGACAGCTTTGGCAGGGGAGTGGGCTCCAGACTTGCCCACAGGCCTCTAACAAGAACATGGGACCCATCAGGGCTACTCTCAGGGTGACCCAAAGCCTGCCTACCATAGCCAGCAGTGATAAGGTGAGCACACCCTGTGGTTCTAGGTGTGCACTCTTGGGTTCCAGGACTTGGACTAAACACCTGCTGCTCAAGCAGAGAAAACAAAGCTAAAACAAGGCTCCAGGATCTTATACCTAGTCTCATTTAGAACCAGCAGCAGCAGGAGTTAAAAGATATTTTGGTATCCATGTGTAGGTATCGATGATAAAAATGCCACCTGCTGAGAAGCCAAACCAAGAGCTGGAGAAGAGTTGGACTGCTTTCAGCAGGGCTTGTTTGCAGGGGTGGAACAGGGCTGGGCTGGGCAGGTGCCATTCGGTTCTCTGCTGAAAGGCTGTCTGCTGAAGGGAGCTGGAAAGCCCTCGCTTGGGTGAGCAGCCAGGCATGGCAGGAGGAGGGGGCTCGGGGCACAGGGCTGCTCTAGATAAGCACAAGTGCTGGGGCAGGGAGCTGAGCGAGTGGCAGAAAGGAAAGGCTGCAGACAGTGCAAAAACTCCTTGTGGTGGGCCGAACTTGTGGTGGGACCAAACCACCATCTTTCACTGATGCCATTGTGGTAAGGAGAGTGAGATTCCCGGTGTTTCCTAGCAATGAAACATAGAAAGGGTGGTGTGGGGGGGAAGGCACCACAAATAGGTTGCAACGGTCGCTGAGCCAGCACCAACGGCCGGGAGCGTGGGAGTCGCCGCAGGTGGGTCCGTGGAAGCGCTGCCTTCCGGCAACGAGGAGCCAGGGAACGGAGAAAGGCCGGGACACCCCGTGCCGGTGTCCCGGCGGTGCTCGGAGGGTCCCCGCTGCTGCGCCCGGGGCCAAGGGCTGAGCATCCCGCGGCGCAGCCGGAGGCATCGCGCACCCCCGGGTGTGTCTGCATCCCTGGGATCCGCGCCCCGAGGCCTCGGTGCCTGCGGGACTGCCCTCCTCGGCCCGCGGCTCCGGGGCGGGCGGCGGCGGCGGCGGCCCCGCCCGGTGCGGCGGCGGCGGGCGGAGCCGGCGTGCGGGCGCGGCCCCGTCTCCCTGCGGCTCTCGGCGGTGCGGCGGCCCGGCCGGCTGGGCCCCCCGCAGCCCCGGGCATGGGAGCCCGCGGGCCGGCGGCCGGGGCTGGAGGAGGAAGAGAAGGAAGAGGAAGAGAAGGAGGCGGCGGCGGGGGCCGCTGACCAGCGCCGGGGCGGCGCGGCAGCCCCGAGGCCGCGGTGAGTGGAGCGGCGCGGGCAGGCCTGGCCGGGCGGGTGAGGCCCGGGATGCGACCCGCGGGATGCCATCCCGGCCACTCATGGGCGGCACCACTCCGGCTCGGGAAAAAGACTAATTTTGAGGTTGTTTCTCATTTTTTAAATAAGTTTCTGCATGTGTCGGGGACTGGGAAAAATTAGGGGGTGGGGGAGTGTTAGTTGTGCTGAATGCGGCCCCTCGCCCCACTTTTGGCCGGCAGGTTGTCACCTTTAGGGCGTCGGGGCCACCGGGTCCCACTGTGCCTCCCTTCTCCCAGGCCTGGGATGTCTTGAGGGAAGAAGGATTGAGTGCACGGGGTTGAGCACCCACTGCAAAACGAGCATCACCGGCCCCATGCACATACTGCACTGGCTTGAAATCCTGGGGAGCAGCTCCCCAGCCCCAGGTTGCTTTTGGCCTCTCACACCCTGCACAGATGCTGCTGTGGGGGGAGATGACATCATATTTCATAACCCCCTCCTTAGCAGTTTAAGCCCACTCATGTTCATGGTGTCCTGTGGCTGCTGCTTGATGGAGTGCTTTGCTTTTGTTCTTGCTGAGTGTCACTCCCTACTTGCCTCATGGACCAAACCAAAGGGCCCCTATAACCAGCTCTGATTTTTCCCTATTGCATCGCTATCTGGCTGTTGAGGCACCACCACTCCATGCACTGCACAGGTGTTTGGGAGGGCTTCTGGCAGGTGCTGGGGGCAGGCAGGTTCCTGTGTCACTTTGTGTGGGGTGACAAGGCACTGTGCTCCGGGGGAAGGTCTGAGCAATAACAGCAAAGCCAGCTTTTCTTCAGAGGGCTACTTTGTAGAAAAAAAACTGGATGTGCTGCTGACACATGCCAGGACCCCCCTATCCACAGGGGTGCTGCTGTGCATCCTGCAAAGGGAGGGTAGGCATGGTTGGGCCGTTGGGCTCAGACCTTTTTCCAGCACCTCTCTGGCTGCGGTGGGTTCCAGGGTCTGCCTGCCAGGGTCAGTCCTGAGACTGAGAGAGGACACCCCAGAGCAGGGTTGGGCGCAGGATCCTCCTTCACATGTCAGCTCCAATCTCTGTACCCATCCAGTGTGGCCATCACTGCCAGCTCAGTGCCCTGTGGCTCCCTGGGGAACCCCTCTGGACAGGGCTGGCAGCTGCCAGTGACCGGTTGCCAGCACTGTTGGGTGCTACCTGCACTCCTGCTGGGAGTCCTGCTGCAGACCCCCGGCCACCAGAGTCCCACAGGGACCAGGCAGCAGCTCTGGCCTGTCCCGAGATCCTCAGGGCTTTGTGAACCCCAGTGCCTGTCCCTTGAGATTGCTTTGCTGTGTCCAGCAGCTTCCCTGAAATCAGGGACTAGCAGGGCAGGGCTCAGGGCAGGAGCTGGGGTGCGTGGCTGTGCAGTGGCAGGGCTGGGAAAGGCCGCATGGTTTGACTTCTCTGGGGCTCTCCAGTGACTCTCCCAGCTGGCTTCCCAGCAGGGCTCTGGCCTGGCTCCAGGCGTCATGTGGGAGATAAGGGGACCCTGACTTCCAGCAGTCCAGTGTCCCAGGAGGCCTCACCATCAGGAGGAGGGGAGAGGATCTGCACCGCTGGCTGAGTGCCAGACCCCCCTGGATGTGGCAGGGAACACTGACTCAGGGGGCTGGGATGTTCTGCTGGACTCAGCCTGGCGTGACTCTCATTGCTGCCCCACTTTGGTGCTGCTGCTGGGGTGTAGCTCTGTGGGGAGGGAGCAGGATGGGGAACAGGGAAGTGGGGTGCCTCAGAGAGGGGCGGCAGGTGGGGACACCTGTGGTGCTCTTGTGACATCCCAGGTTGGCCATGTTTTTGGAGAGTGTAGCCTTCGTCAAGGGCTCAACTCCCATGGAGGCTGTTTGTGGCATGTCTGGAGGTGTCTGCATGCTCTCTCTGGGTGGGAAAAAGGGAAAGGGAGTGGATCTGTCCTGTTCTGGTCTTGGCCTAGGAAAGCAAGGAGGTGATTTGCTATGTGGGCCTGAGGACCTCTCATATCTTCATGGTTGTGCCTTCAGAGCAGGGATCCAGGTGCAGCATTCCCCCTGGGGTGCTCTCTGGCATTCCAGCCTGCAAGCCCTTCACGTCTGCATCAGGCCTGTGCTGCCTCTGCTGTCCCAGTGTCATTTGGGCAGGGCTGGGGGCTCAGACTCGTGGTGTCCTGAGCGTGAGATGTCTTGGCAGGATCAGGACCGTGGCTGGAGCCGCCCCCCTGCCCCGCCAAGCGCACATGTCCGCCTGCCCGTGCCCAGAAGATGACCA